GGGGTGACAGGATAAAATCTTATATCCAGACACTGAACAAATAATAAACGTGTATATATATATATATATATATATATATATATATATATATATATATGTTACTGTAAAACAGAAAATTTGTAACAACTTAAAATATGTATTTTAATTTTTAAGAAATTAAATAAAAACAAGATTATTATAATTATAATTAAAAAAAATTAGAATACTTTCTTGTTTTCGATTAGTGGATGAGAAATTAGTTCAGCTCATCGATCAAGCCAAAAATAAAACAATGAGTTGTGGCTCAAAGTTAAGTTATTTCTAAACAAATTTTATCTACGTAGGAATTTTAATAATGCAAATATGAATGATTAGTGTCACGCTAAATGACCGATAAGTAGACATATGGAACATTCGTCTCCATGAATGACGGACCGGTGCTTTTTTCTTTTACTCCTTTCCTTGTGATGCAAGACAGTGCCCCCACCGCTTGGGCTGCCTCCAATTAAATATTTAATATCTTTTTATTTTTATTTTTTAATAATTTTATCATTCACTATTAAATAAAGGAAAACATTTTTTCCTTTTAAAGGAAAATTTTTTTCTCCTACCAATGACTCATAGCATAAGTGGATCTCATATTAATTTTTTTTTCTCTCTACTATTTTGTAAATTTCACTTATACTCTGAGTCACTAATAGAAAAAAAAATTCTCCTTTAAAAAGAGAAAATATTTTCCCTAAAATAAATCAAATAAAATTGTTAAGTCAAAAACTTTAAAAATGAGAAAGTTGGCAATTCTCTTGTACGTGCATGTTGAAGTTGAAAAATGCGTATCCACTTTTATGTAATATGATTGAGTTCTCACTTTTCGATATTACCAAAAAAAAAAAAAAATTTAATTCATACCATTATATATTTTTCATAAAGTTTAAATTTTAAATTATTTGTAAGTAACTTCTACATCGAATATTTCTCTTTCTAAATTTCAGCTGCTTATAAAAAAAATTGTTTCATTAAAAAAATCTTCCTCAAATATCAGCTTCCTATAATATTAAATTAATTTTTTAAAAGTTTACTTTTATATTAAAATTTGTTCTTTCTTTTCAAATCTCAATTATTTTACTTATTTTATTCAATTAAAATATATTATTTTACGAATGGTTTTATTTTTTAATTTGTTATCTCTTAAAGAAAGACGTGTCATTCTTAACTTTTTTTTAAAAAATAATTATTTTTTAATAATCATACATATCTCTTTATAATTATTATTTTTCTCTTTTAACCATATTTTTAAAATTTTAACCTAATTTATTATGCATTTATATCTTAAAATTTTAAAAAAATTATTTTTAAATATTTTTATTTTAAATATTTTTATTTTAATGTATACTTTTTAAATTTTATATAAATTTAAATATTCGTACAAAATACAACATATTTGTTACTTATGAAACAACCGAACACTTAGATTTTGCTCAATTAAGTGGTAGCAAATTTTATTATTCAGACAATTTTAATATAACAAATATTTTTCTTTGTATTTTCCGGTGAAGCAAATTTACTCATAATTAATTTTTATATTAAGTCATGTTAACGTGGCATAAATAAACTTTGAAAAATATTAGATAATCACAACACGAACAATTAATAACAATATAATATGAAAACGCTTTCGTTCATGATGTAACTTTACACCTGCAATGAAATTTCTACCTTTCTTGTCGTCTGGGTCCGAGATTCTGTGCAATGAATCACGCTTTTGATATAAATGCCAAACAGAAGAATTTATTCGCTGCCAACCGCTTCCAAAATTTCAAGATATATACATTATTTTACATAATTAATATTTCTCACGTCAAATAAAATAATTTTATCTCTTATATATATATAAAAAGAGTTTGTTGTTTATCATTTTAAATGACATAATTTATATCATTTTAAAAGAGAAGTAGATACAAGATATGGAAATAATGGGAGAGAAAGTAAATAATTTTTTTTTAATTTTAATTTAAAAAAAAAAAATCTTGTGTCTATCTCTCTCTTAAAATGACATAATTTTATGTCATTTAAAATGAGAACCACTTTTTCAATATAAAAATGTATGGATAAAAAAGAGGAAAAAAAAAATATACTCGACACATTTGTTTATATATATAAAAAATAAAATTATATTATACACATAAAAAATAATAATTTGCAGCATACTGCAAATGGTCCCGGAGCATCTTTCATTCATTCATTATTATTATTAATTTATTATTATCGTTTTTTATGTTTTATGTTCCTTTCCTTCGTTTCCAATTGAAACTTCAACTGAAGACTCAATACAGAGATGCCTAGTGTATTTTTCTTGCTACCCACTCACTATGCCATCAACATAATTCAGTTCCCCACGTGAAAGTTTCTCTGCAATTTCATTTAACTTTACATCTTTAGAAGCAGAAAAGTAGCACAGCACATATCTGACCCTTATCTTATGTTCCAGCACCTTCTTGATCGGCACTTGATCATTTTTGCCGAGTTGCTATTTTGATGGCACCCTCTGATTACAAAGTTTGTTTCAACTTTTGAGGACACTGTTGTAATTAAGAGGTTCGTTGAAGATGAAATAACACCGCGTCATTAATAGAAACTCTGTTTCAAGTTTCAACCGCTCTAATTAGTTCCTTCTGTTAAGAGATTTAATAGGGACAAGTTACCTTCTGATCATTACCTCAACAATGATGGGACAGGAAATCAATATATATATATATATATAGAGAGAGACACTCACATACACTATCATATTGCTTCTGTCCATTATGATTATGTTATTTGCTCCACTTGATTTCTAGCTTTGACTTGCGTTTCATATATATGATGCTGAATGCTGATAATGACTTGCTTAAAGACTATGTCTATGGTATTTGGCGCCAAATCCTAAGGTAAGTATTTGGAAATAAATAATGCTACACAGTCAAAAAAAAAAAAAAAACTTTGATATAATTTAAGGATAGTTATTGGATAGCATCAAAAAATTTAAATTTAAATTTAATTTACAATTGAAAGTTTGACCTTCTCAAGCAATAATGATGCATGTAAAAAGATTTTAATGGGTAATCATGCCAGTGATGCCACTAACAATCCAAAACAAAGAAATCTTTAATAAAAGTCAAAGGGAACTCAAGAGAAAGTGATGAAGGGGAGAGTGAGAAAGGCTGAACATGCACGAAGAAGACATGGTGTGGTTCATGAATTGATGGCTGCATTCAGAATTTTTCATCAAGAGCCCCACTATTGATGCGCATGCTCCCAAACAAACAAGAAAAGAAACAAAAAAAATATATATATAGTGACACCATTTCTCTATCTCTCTTTCTTTGTCTTCGTCACTTCCCTTCCATCCTACACTAGACAAAACTAAAGAAATGTGTATTGAACTGTTAAAAGAGAAAACAGAAAGTGAAATGAAGATTAATTCGTTGTCAGTATTCATCTTAGTTTAAATTCCTTCATATGACAAATCAGCGTCAGAAATTCAAAAAGTATGTAATCACATGCGAGTTTGATTCCACTGGGTCAGAAACATATCATAACAATATCTCAATAGATAAAAAAAACTATAAACCACCTTACAATATATTAAAAGGATAAGTTCATATGTCATTTTCTTTTTTTTTATTAATTCTGGATCTAACAAGTAATATTCATTATACGTATGTATGGGTTAATTATAAAACTTTATAACTGTAGTAAAAAGTTTATATTATCACTTATGTATAGCTCATAAGCTTTTATACTAATTGAAAATTATTTTATACTACATTCATATATCAATGTTTTATAAAAATACGTTTTTCAAACAAAAAAATTGTCATCTTGATCATTTCATATCTATGCTCATTTCCAAACAGTAACGATTATGAAAACGAAATAGGATTCTCCTCACAATAAAAGGTAATAAAAGAATTATTAAAATTATAAAAAAAGTCTAGAGCATGTACCAACATGGATATATAAATATTTCCTATATTTTTTTTAGATGAATATATTTTTTTTGATGTACTTCTACAAAGAACATTTAATAGTTCTGTTTCATATAAAGGCTTAGCTAATTTAAGATTTATACTAGAGAAGGAAAAAACTGAAAATAAATAATATTAGTTGATTAATCATTTCCCCTGTTCTAAAAGATAATTATCACTCATTTTGCTCCTATTTTAAAATAAAATTATCACTTTGTCTCTTTATCTAAACTATATATCAATTTGTCCCTTTTCTCAATTAACTACATATGAATATGTTCCTGTTTGACCGATAATTACTCGAGTAAATGAATAATCAAGAACTAAGATTTGGTCAAACTTTGATAAAAAAAAATAGCATATTGATATATAGTTTAAGAATAGAGATATATTGATATATAGTATAGAAAGCATGATAAAGTGATAAAAAAATTGAAATAAGGGAAAAATAGTCAATCAACCAAATAATATTATAACAATATTAGCATATGTGCTCAATATATTTATTTTTTCACTTTTTATTTAAATTCGAATATCATTTGGATAAAAAAAATTATATTTTATTTGAACAGGTAAGTGTCCAGCTCATTTTTATGTGTGAAATGTTGTAAAAATCCACAGGTGTTGTTATCAAAAAAAAAAAAAAAAAAAAATCCACAGGTGTTTGCTCATCACTAATTTTTAGTAGTCATTATTATTTGCACAGTGGATTAGCGATAAGACTAGAAATGAATGAGGATAAATTGTGAGCCTGATACTGATAGCATACTTGCACATTGTTTTCTTTTTTCAAGTGTGGGCTTTGCGCACTAATTAGATTAGATGTTTCGCACAGATAATAATGAAACACACCTGTGAACTCATTTGAGATGAAATTCACTTCGGCTGTGACATATATTTAACAAGGGACATCATGACTTATTACACATTTGTATTTTTATTTGAAGCATGGTTTCGTACAAGTCTACTAAGGTTTTTAAAAGTAAAGAAAGAGAGCAAAATGCAAATGGATATCTAGTTCACAGCCCTACAATTTGTCCTTATTTGGCCCTGTTGTCCCGTAAGTACACCTATGCGGCCCATTTTCTCAATAGATACCGCAAAGTCTCTGAAAAACAAAAAAGGCCACTTGCTATAGTTGATAACCAATGAAGCAGTAGTGTTGTCACCCAAAAGAGCCTGGTCTGACTGAAGTAGCCCCGAACTGTTCACAAGATTTTTGTAATACACGTTATCAAATGTGTTGGTAGTAACGGGATCCAAGGGAGCCAAATTGGTGTCAGAATCAGCTTGATTGGGGCACAGTTTCTGTAAATTTTGTAGAAGTGAAGTATCAAGTGCTGGATCAGATTTACCAGAGCCACCAAAGTTGAAGAGCCTTGGCTTAAATGTAAAGCATTGAGCAAACCCAAAGGTGTGGGCACCTACATTGAGCACATAAACATGAAACTTATAAACTTCGTCTCATGATTAACGAGTATGTTAGCAACTTTATGCCTCATGACACGTAGTGGAAATACTTAATTTTTTTTCTTCATGTGATCTATTTTTTTATTTCAAAATTTTGGTTAATTAGAAACTGAAAAAAGTGTTAAACAAAAGTTTGCTGTGATAACTGAACTTTCATGGGTAACAGGCAGAGTCATTATTATTATAGAAGTACAATTTTTATTTTTATTTTGCCTAATACACAACTTGAAACAAGAATTTAGAGCTATTTGGCCTCTCTAGTTGCAAGACTGAAGCAAATAAAAGTGAAGGAAGCAAACCTGAGAGCACTGCTACATCCTTCATTTCAAGACCCTTGGAAATGAACTTGGCTGTAATGTTTTCTAGAGGTTCAAATGGTGATGGCAAGTTATTTGCTTCGCTCTCGCTTGCTGTTGTGCCATCTCTGCGACCAAGAGGTACAGGCCAAAATGGACCTTTACTCTGAGAAAATTAGAAAAGGTTTCAATATGTATGATGTATATATACATTCAATGAGCTAGTTTGAATTATTAACTTATTCTAGATTCAGATAAACTTTTCAGCCAAAACCTTAGTCTTGGGACATATTGATATAAGCTTTTATTTATATGCAAAATAAACTAGGAAAAATAGATAAGGGTCTCTTACAAGATAAACAGCTTCTCTAGCTGCTAGAGCTAGTAAATCAGCACATGACACTGTGGATGGACAAGCTTTTTCTAAGGCTGACTTGATTGTATCAATGACCTCAAATCCTCTGATTGAATTTCGATTAGGCAGTGCATTTTTCTCTCCTGTGAAAGTGTTAGTATCATCAAGTAGCACAGATCCATCACATCCCTGTGTAACAAGAAAAATATACTTCAGTTTGAGTTTTACTTGGCATATTAAAAATGAAGGAAAAATGTTTCTAATTTTGCAGAAAAAACTTCTCTGCCACACTCACATAAAAGTGAGTGAATCCCATTATAAAGAGAAGAGGGAAAAAATATCAGTGAAACCCATTCATTTTTATGTGAGTGTAACAGAGAAGTTTTTTTCTGCAAACATTAAATACTAAAAATAATCCAACTAAACGAATAACTAAGAGCTTATTTACATTTACGAAACAATCGTGGAAATGAAGGCGCAAGAGAGAAGCTGCAATCCTTGTGTCATTGATCATAGCTGACCTAACGTTGTATCGAACAATTCCGGTGAGGTTTGGACAAGTTGCGTCATAGAAATTATAATAAAGTTGACAGCATACTAGAGGAATAAAGAACACAAGCCAAAACAAGAAAACAAAAGGATGCTTATTAAAGGTACACTCCATAAGTTGAAACTAGGATGACAACAGGGGAAAGAAGTTAGTTAAGTTAATAACTCAACTAGAATTGCGTGTGATAATAAGTTGTAAACTGAAAACAATTTATAGAAGAAAAAGCACTTGCTAGATTAATTTTTATAGAGAGTGGCAGAACCACTATCCATATTGTGCTTATCACTTCAGTTTGGTACAAGTCCAAATTGTCTGCTCTTCTTATTTTGGTAGACAAGTCAGCATTTCGTTAATGGACGTAAGAACTTAGGCACTCCCACCTCATGAAGTTAACAATTGTTCTCAGTGGCAAGATCATGTATTATGACAATATATCTCTACTAAAGAACTGCCTCGAGACTATTATAAAGTAAACTCTATAATTGACTCATGACGTCTCCATGTGAAGAATAAGGATGCTTGAAAGAGTGTAATCACTATCAGCGTACTCTATAACTTGTTTTCTTTTGTGCTACTTGTAGTTGTCCTTATAATGCCCAGGTATAAGAAGCTTCAAATTTGCCCTTTGAGGATAAGTCGTATGCATTGTGGGAGTAGGAGAAGAATTTTCAAAGAAGAAATTATAGATAAATACCGAAAGTGCCTGCCATTTGATTATAATTCTATGAATCTGTCATGTGGTGGAATGTGCGTGTACAGTCATAATAAAAGGTAGCAAAACAGGAGATAATTAATAACCATGGCAATTTGTGGGATACAACAAGATCAAGTTCATGTAACTACTATGCAAGGAGCGTTTTGTTTAGTTTTTAAAAACTTCTCAACCGCATGTCTTTTTTTGTTTTTGTTTTTGTTTTTCCGGTAAAAGTATGTCTTTTTTTGTTATGGATGTAGAGAAAGTTATATTTATAAACTCTTTATTGTTTACCACCTCTTACAATTAAATCTTAACTGTTATTTCTGTCAATGTGATGATTATAATTTAGGGAAAGTATATACCTACCACCAAAAAAGTTTACAACCTTCAACTAACCTAATCACCATTGATTTTCGTCAAATCTAACGGTTATAATTTATTGGAAATTATTAGGTCACATTTAGTAATTAATTATTAATTCCCAATAAATTATAACCGTTAATTAAATTGACGGAAATCAACGGTGATTAGATTGGTTGTAAATGTGGTAAAAAAAAATTTGTGATAAGCAGTGGCAGAGCCAGCAAGGCATTTAAGCCAGTGCCAAAAAATTCAGTTGGTGCCACGGTTATATAGCTACGACTAAAACATGGCTAATTTTCAAAAAACTTGAAACATAATTTGCTACGTTTCAAGCGTAGCTAAATAAACGTGATTAAATTAGCCAGTACCAAGGTATTTGCTAGCATCAACGTGGCTCCGCCACTGGTGGTAAATATATCCTGCCACATATGAGAATAAAATCTTTGACTTTGAGTATGATTTAAATTTAGGGTAAAGAGGCTCAAATCCAAAATCAAAATCAGATTAATCAGGTTCATTAAGATTTTTGACACCGATTTGTATTAAAATGGATAATGAGCCATGAGAGCTTCCTCTCAGCATACGTCTCCCATATTGGATTAGCTCAACTGTTTTACTATCCTTGACGTCTCCCGTACAGAGGCAGAATTAAGGGGGGCTAGGGTGGGCCACCCCCCACCCCAAAAAAATATTTGTAGGAAAAAATTATATATATAGATGGAAGGGTGATTATCAGTCATCCCAAAGGGAGAGAAGTACTTGAAAGAAAAGGGTATTTGAAATATTATTGAATCGTGTAAATAATCTGTACAAAGAGGTCTTTATTTATAGAGAATGAAAACCCTAATATTTGACCTAATACTTGACCTAATGGGCTTGGCCCAGTACAACAAATAATAATAATAAAATAACCAATATTTATAACACTCCCCTTTAAGCTGAGGAATAGATATTTATCATTCTCAGCTTGCTATTAAGTTATTGAAATCTGTCTGGAGGAAGTCCCTTTGTTAATAGATAAGCCAATTGACGCCTAGTGGGAATGTATGGAGTGGTAATCAACCCGCTATCAAGTTTCTCTTTGATGAAATGGCGGTCGACCTCAATATGTTTAGTCCGATCACGTTGAACCGGATTATGAGCTATACAAATAGAGGACTTATTGTCATATAGCAGCTTCATAAATCCCTCACATTTTATTTTGAGATCATCAAGTACAATTTTCAGCCACAGTAACTCACAAATGCCTTGAGCCATAGCTCGAAATTCAGCTTCTGCACTTGATCTGGCAACCACATCTTGTTTCTTACTTCTCCATGTCACTAAGTTACCACAGAGAAACATGCAATAACCAGTGGTAGATCAACGGTCAATCACGGATCCAGCATAATCAGCATCAGTGTAGACTTCTAAAGAGAGATTTCCATCACGTCGGAATAACAATCCTTTACCAGGAGTAGCTTTAAGATACTGAAGAATTCTCTCTACTACCTGCATGTGTTTCTCCTTTGGATCGTGCATAAACTGACTGACAATACTAACAGCATAAGCTAGGTCTGGTCTAGTATGAGCCAGATATATCAATTTCCCAACTAGCCGTTGATATTATCCTTTATCAACTGGAAGACTTTCTTCTTCATAGCCTATCTTGTGATTCTGCTTAATAGGAGTATTAGAGGGTTTACACCCGAGCTTTCCTGCTTCTTTGAGAAGATCAAGAACATATTTCCTCTGGCTGATAAAAATTCCTTTGCTCGAATGAGCTACTTCTATTCCTAGGAAATATCTCAGTTTCCCTAGGTCTTTGACTTCAAACTCAGAGGCAAGCCGTGTTTGCAGAATCTGTCTCTCCACAAAATCATCACCTGTGATAATAATATCATCAACATATACAAGGAGCACAGTAAGCTTCCTATTTTGGGAGTGCTTGAAAAAAAGAGTGTGATCTCCTTGACTCTGTCTATATTCTAAGGTCATCATAACCTTAGTAAACTTTCCAAACCAGGCATGAGGTGACTGCTTCAATCCATACAAGGCCTTTTTTAATCTACAAACTTTATTTTCTCCCTTCACATAATCAAAACCAGACGGAATTTTCATGTAGACTTCTTCTTCTAACTCACCATTGAGGAAAACATTCTTCACATCAAATTGATTTATATCCTAATTGTAATGGGCAGCAAGGGATAACAAGACTCTCACCGTATTCATCTTTGCAACTGGAGCAAATGTTTCTTCATAATCAGTGCCATAGGTTTGAGAGTAACCTTTGGCAACTAATCGAGCCTTGTATTTCTCAAGAGTTCCATCAGAATTATATTTCAGGGCATAAACCCATCTGCACCCTACTGCTTTCTTTCCATTAGGTCTATCAATAACCTCCATGTTTTATTTTTCTCCAATGCATTCATCTCCTCTTGCATTGCTTGAGCCCAATTCCCATCTTTCAAGGCTTCATGTACTGATTTTGGGATTACAATAGAGTCTAGTGCTGAAACAAAGCTTTTGTGCTGCACAGAAAGATTAGCAGAGAAAACAAAATGGGAGATAGGGTATTGAGTACAAGAGGGATAAAAGGAACAATATTTCTTGGGACAAGATCTTTTTCCTTTTCTAAGAGCAATGGGTAAATCATCAGAATCAGTAGTAATGGGTAAGTCATCAGAAGTATTAACATCATGATCAGAAATATGAGATTCAGGACTTACTAGTGGTTCAGACGATTGAGGTTGCTGTTGATGCAATGTGGGCCGTTTCCTTCTTTGATATACCAACTCAGGTGTCATAATCTTCCGTATCTCTGGTGTACTTGATGTATCAGTCACAGGATGATCACTCACAGAAGGATCAGACACAGGAGGAACAAGAATAGACATTGAAGACTCAAAGAAAAGAGGTGAAGGATTCTCCCCCTGAAGATGAGGACCTTGGAAAAAGGACTCAGATTCCTGAAATGTAACATCCATAGAAACAAAAAATTTCCTATTACCAGGTGATAGCACTTGTAGCCCTTCTTATCAGGAACATAACCAAGAAAAACACATTTAATAGCCCTAGGGTCCAACTTACTGCGATGATGTTTATGAACATGAACAAAAGCAACACACCCAAACACTCGTGGAGGAAGACTCATAGTTGGAATAGAAGGGAAAAAAGAAGTTATAGAGTGAATAAGACTTACATGGTCAAGGACACGAGTGGGTAAACGGTTGATCAAGAATGCTGCAGTAAGAATAGCATCTCCCCAATAGTATTTGGGTACATGTGTCTGAAACATTAATGCACGAGCCACTTCAAGAAGGTGACGATTTTTTCTTTCAGCAACCCCATTCTGTTGAGGGGTGTCAACACAAGTAAGTTCATGAATCATACCGTTATTTCGTATAAATTGGGAAAAATTGTGATTAACTTATTCAGTACCATTATCTGTTCTTAGTCTCTTGATTTTTCTACCAAATTGGGTCTCAACCATTTTATAAAATTGAAATAACAGTTGTGGTACCTCAGACTTTTCACGCATTAAGTAAACCCAAGTTACACGAGTGGAATCATCAATAAAAGAAACAAACATCTATTTTCAGAAGCATGAGGAACTTTAGAAGGACCCCAAACATCAGAATGAATAAGATCAAAAGGTTCAACACTCTTAGTACTACTAGAAGGAAAAGACACATGATGATGCTTAGCAAACTCACAAACATCACAATGAAAAGACTCAACAGGCTTAGACAAAAATAATGACGAAAATAAAGACTTGAGTAAACCAAATGGAGGATGTCCTAATCGCTTATGATGAAGCCAAATCAAAGACTCAGCAGTTGATTGACCATGAGACATCAAGATGTGATCAGTTACTTTATTTGCGGGAGATTGTGACACCAGATAGTACAGCCCACCTTGGTCTTTAGAACTACCAATCTTCTTCCCCGTGGCGAGATCCTGAAAAACACAATGGGTAGGGAAGAAGGTTACAGTACAATTCAAATCTTTTGTAATTTTATGAATAGAAAAAAGATTCGTGGAGAGTTTAGGAACATGAAGAGCATCTTTAAGA